GAGAGAGAGAGAGAGAGAGAGAGAGAGACATCCACACGCAAACACAAACACACAATATGTGAATACAAAAGGACTCCTTATCTGTCTTTTACACTGGAGACACACACTGCACATAATGAAGGAACAACAGAGCGACATTCTCTTTGAAAAAGCTTTCTTTTTTAGCAATGCCTTGAATTGTTCCATAAAGAAATCTGTTTTATATAATCACAGAAAATAATCTGAATTGCTTGAGGATTTTGTGTGGGTTTTGTTATGCCATCGATCGTATGTTTGATGTTTCGGTATATCAGAGAGACGTAGTTTGCAAAGTTAACAGCATGCATCCGATTCGCCTGTGTTAAAAATGGACGTTAAAACACATGGATTACGATCATTATTTAGTGTATACATTAGTTTGAGACGCTTACATGAAACTGCTATTAGTGATAGATTGAGGTAATGCTGAACCTTTGTGAAGAAGAAAAAGCAGACCACAGACCATAAAGAGAAAATTGTCTGTATTTATCACTCAAAGGAAAACTCTGTCAAACTGACCAACAGACTGCTACGTACGAAAAATTGTGAGTTGAGTTTGTTTTGTATTGTCTGTATGTCGGCGTCAGGAGATATAACTATTTTTCCTTCTTAGTAGAATTTGTTACCTACATGTATATCGAGACATGGAAGCTCTAAATGATGAACTGTTTCAGAAAAGGCATAGTCCTCTTGACTTCATAATCTACTCAGATTATTGTACTTTTGGACACTAGACATTAATCAGAATTCAATACATGTATTTACGAGTAGTTAAATAGATCTATTTTAAGACAACACTATAAGATTGCGTTTAGCATCCTTTTCAACAGAACAAGGCTGGAATTTTAAGGCTTTGCTGAAGCGATGCCACATTATGATTGCTATTTTCTGCAGGTAAAGCTGAAGAAAAAAGGGTTGGGGGGGGGGAGAGACTGGCAGAGAGCAAATGGGAAGTTTTTATTTTATATTCAAGCATTACTCATACAAAAAGGAATTGGTGAGCGGGAACTAGGAGAAAAAAAAAGAAGCAGGTAAACGCGTTGGGAAATGGGGCTTTAATTTGCAAAGCATGCACAATGTTTTCTGTTAGTAGTTCCATTGTGTTTTAAAAAAGAAAAAAAAACTGTTAGCAAGACGACTGGAAGCGTGAGAATTGTAGGTACGAAGAGTCCCAACAAGCCAAGCGCAATAATCCTTTACCAGCCCTAGAAGCGGTGTTTCCTCCTCTGCTGGCAGCTCCATCAAAGCTGATGCTACGTCTCGGGGACATCGGACCGAAGATCTCATCCGGGGTCACCAGACTGCCAGAACCTGACGGGACCGTAGGAGACTTGCTGCCTTCCTTTGGGCGCGGGTACAAAATAGCGTCTTCAAAACTATCACGCCTCGTCAGACCAGCATGAGCGGGGTCTTGGTTGTCTTTTTGCTGTGATATGTCTACGTCCCAACTGCCTCGGGATGTTCTATTACGCTCCCGGCTGTTCTGTCTCGATAAATCGCGTTTTCTGTCCTCTTTTGTATCTAGGTCCACATTCTCTTGGTCTTGTCCAGTGTGTTTGGTGTTTTTGTCTCTTGCCTCCAGAGTTGAAAAACTTTTAGGGGAGTTCTGTTGCGTCATAATCGGAGTGTTGCCAAGTGTGCTATCACGTTGGCTTGGATTGTTCTCCATTTTTTTTGGCTAATGCCGTAAACTACGGATGAATGAAAGAGAAATAGAAATTGGCTCGAGATGCATAAGGATTTTAATTTTGTAAGAGAATTTTACTCTGAATTTTACAGATTCAGAATTTTTGTTGCGTATATAAACCTGACATTTAATTTTAGTTCTTAAGGGCACTTATACTTGTCTAAGAAACAAAGGTAATCAGCAAGGACATTAAAATGTGTCTTATCAAAATAACCTGGTTGGTCATTGAATCAAATGCATTTTTTGTATTTGTAATACTTTGTAGAAGTAATATTTAAAAATGCGTGTGGTTGTTATAATTTCTGAAGTGTTCGGGTGACAAAAGGTTAGAATTTGCTTGTAATGATCGCTAACGAGTTCAGTCTAACTTTTGTTCATTCCTTTAAATAGATGTTACGCTTATTTTACTTTAATATATTGCATTTATGCTTGTTTGTTTTTTATTTGATAATTTATTTATTGTGTCCCAACAACAGTGCGGGAATAGTAGAGAATCTGTGCCGTCTTTTCTTTTCCCAAGTACGTTACAGGTGATATAAGTCAGTTTCATCTGAGAATATCACAAGCATCCTCTCTCCTTTCAAAGGAAATAACATTCATAATTTGGCAACTGTCTCTCCGAAAGCAGTGTGTTAACGTGTGTGTGTGTATGCGTGCGCGCGAGTGTGCGTGTGTGTGTGTGTTCGTGTGTGTGTGCGCGCGCATGTGTGTATGTGTTTGTGAACGAGTAATTCACAGAATGTTTACCCCAGAGAATATAGCTGATATGATGAATCTTGTTGGCAATTCTAACAACTCTACTTACAAGTCCAAAGACAGCAGTATTGAATCAGCGTATAAGAACGAACCACAAAAACAATCCACCCTAAAATTCAAGTCCTAATGATATCTGTTTTGACCAGTTTCGGACAAAGTTAACATTAGTTTTCATTCAAAATTGTTTTCAATCCTGTTAGATCTCCTTTGTCCGCCCTACACTCACGCAATCAAGTACATGTGTATTATTAAAAATCGTAAATAATTAATCCTATTGTTCAACAGTTTAGTAATCACAACAAGGTAAAATGAATTGACCTGTTTAACAGAATAAAGGTCTGTTCAACAACTGTCTGCTATAATAGGGTAAAAATCACTCCACATCGAAATCCACACATTCAAAGTACTTCACTGCGTGAAGCGGCCCAAACACAACTCTAAGTTGAAGAATATCCGCATACATGTACACTTCGAGTCAATATTATAACTTAAGCCTTGTCTCAAACGGGGGCGAAAGTCTGGAACCGACGGAAAGTAAACAGACACGCCGTGCTTTACGACACCCTGCGTTGCCATTCAGAGTCACTTCGATCCTTGTCGTTTACGAGGCTCCCTGTCAAGGCATGATATGATCACATGGAAAGGTTTGCCCGGGTACCTGTCTGCTGGACTATAGCAAACGGGGGTCGATAGCAATAGGCTCAGGCGTTCATCTGGAGATAGTGCAGATCACCGACAAGATCCACTCCCACCCCCCACCCCCAAACCAGTCCAATTTCACATATTTCAATGTAGCTATACTTCTGCCTAACTTTTGTCTTCCTTCCATGCGTAAATGCACGCGCGCACGCACACACACACACACACACACACACACACACACACATACATACATACATACATACATACATACATACACGCGCGCGCGCAAACAAACAAAGACGCGCACGCAAACAAACATACACACACAGAGGAGAAATAGGCCAAGGAATTTATGGACACCACGGGAAAAATTTTAAGCCAGCTTTGGCAGTCACCTTGGTGATTTGCTGATGATCCCGATTTTTTTTCACCAAATCCCGATTTTTTCTCCCTGAGATCCTGATTTTGAGGTTTCATAGAGTGGCAGGTCTGTATTATGTGATGAAAAGTTTGACGGCAAAGAGTTGTTGTGGGTGGTTGGCGGGTGCTCTGGTGTGGTTTGCTCCTTCTCTCCTATCAAACATCTGTCGTCCTTTTC